CCCGCAGGGGCTGAGGGCGGCCGGGGCGACAGCAGGCCGGAGCGCGGGGCCGGTTTTGCTTTTATCTCGATCTTTTCCGTGTTCTGATGACTCGGGAATTAATGCAGCAGCGCGCGATACGACCTCCTAACCTACAAGTTCTGCGGGCGACCGTCCCGCCTGCCGATGTCCTCACGCGCTCTGCACCTGTCGCCGTCCCGCCGGGGCTACGTGGGAGGCTCCTGAGCGCTCGGGGGCGCGCGTCCCGGGACCTGCACCCCGCGTTTCCCTTCGGTGGGTCTGAGGTGGGGCCTGGCAATGTGGGTTGTGCTGATGGTCACGCTCCTAGAGCCACGCCCGGAGCTGCAGACCCTCCACCTTCCCCCGGCCCTCCCCTCGGTCAGGACCCTGCGCCATTCCGCAGGTGCGTTTGAACCCTCAGCGCTTCCCTGAAGTCCTCCCTGCTAACTGCGGCTGGGAGTCACCGTATTCCTCGGAGTCTAGGTGGAGTTGAGTTGATGCCCAGGGAATTCCACTCTGCATTACAGTTATTTACGTAATTTCACATTCCTACCATATTATAAGCCATGTAAAGGAGATTACATTGGTATTCTACAAATGTTAAGTGAGTTAAATTATATCTGATTTGGTTAAAATCTTGATGAATACTGGTAGTTGGAAAACAGTGGAAATAAATACAGTAACTATAAACAAGGGAGTAAATAAAATCTGTATCTTGTGCCAATTATCAATGAATTATATCTCAGTTCTAAATTCAAACTTTCTTACCTGCTCTGTGAAAATAAATCAGTCCTTTTTTTAAATTTTTTTTATTAAAAAGATGACCGGTAAGGGGATCTTAACCCTTGACTTGGTGTTGTCAGCACCACACTCTCCCAAGTGAGCCAAGGGCCAGCCCAATTAGTCCTGTATTTTGTCTGTGCTCTCTGACATGTTAGCTTTGTCAGTGTCACTGGAGAGACCCTGTAGAGGAAGAGCTTTTCCTGGGTCTGGTTGAGATTCTGGTGTGCTAGATCCAGCTGTCACAGTGCACAGTGGCACCAGCAGCACCCAGCATCAACCAGTTTTCCCTGGCATCCCCTTGGGCAGCTTTGTAGCAAAATGCCTCAAGTGAGACAAGGTCTGTGGAAAAGCTTTCCCCAGCATCCTAGAGGGAACATTTCCAGCAGGTTCCAGTGGTGGGGCACCGAGCAGCTTCTCTGCCATTCAGCTTCTCTGCAGCTAGCCCTCTCCAACAAGGTGCGAATAACGTAGTATAGTTTAAGAAAGGGGTATAAGAATGTATGTGTCCACATTTTTGTTAGGTGTAGTGGAGTTAGCATTATTAGACTTTTATGTGTGTAATGTGAGACAATGCAGATGAGTAATCATGGAGACGCCACTGGCAAGGAGGAATTTCAGTTCAGGAGAAAAGAGTCACAAATGTAAGATCAACAGGGTTAAGTAAAAACCTGCATTCCTGGATTTGAATCAGAAGTACTATTATAAATTCACAATGTCCACTAAAAAGTCTTAGGAACAATAATCAACATAGTATCGAAGTGCCATTCCAATACCTATTTTGTGGGGTTTTTTGTTTGTTTGTTTGTTTTTTAAAAGATGACC